ATGCCGAAACCGGACGCCATAGTTGTGCGCGAAGCGGATGAGGAGCTAAAGATCGGGGGGAAGGGTAGATGCGGGGGCGTGGAGCGCGGTAATGACGGTGAGGCGACGCGGAGTGGAGGAACGACCGGCGGGTGTGGGATGATCCTGTTCTGGTGCGGCGATGAGAGGAGATTATCTCAGGTTAGGGCGTTCCTCCGTCAAGTTGCGCGAGTAACCCCTGTCGTCACAGGTGGGCGAATGTGCGTGCGAAGAAGCTGGTTTGGAAGGATCGCCGAGCCTCAGTAGCTCTGTTTTCGTTCTGCTTCTAACCTTTAGTAAATAAGCCCATTCTTGTTTGTTTTCGACTGTATAACGAGAGATTCTTTAGAGGGTTTACACTGTGCTTGCTTTTGGGTCTCTCGAAAAGCTTCATTCGTTCGGGCCAAATCGAGGCTGGATGGAGGCTTGGAGTTCACGTAGCCTGCAAGGCTCGATATATTTGACATGCCAGTGGATCAGGTTCGCAGGAGGAGCAAAAGTCTCATCATGTGATCTGATGTGAACGCGCCTTCCAGTGGCGCCTAGCCACATCAGTTTTGCGCAAGCTAGCCCCAGAAGAGATGTGGCTGTGATGCGTTATCCTCCAACGATCTTGGCTCGCTGTTACCCAAACCAGCTTTACACGCCAATCACAGTGCTTCGATATTTCGACAGAGCATGATTTGGAAATTCAAAAATTGCTTTGTCAGACAAAACTTCCGCCCAACCTCAAAGATCCTTTTCTTGTCAATCTCCAGCTTTTCTGGAAGTTCCGACTGTTGGGCCAATAGCAGCTGGATCACCACTCCCGCTTTCCCGTCTACTCCCCCTCAGTCTGTCAGCGTGGCAGCACTTTTTCCTCCTCGCTCATCCCTGAATTCAGTAACCAATTCTCAAGGGAAGGCAGACCGTCAGGGAAGTCAGTCAGAGGCAACTAATGGATCCCATTGTCAGGCGAAACTACAACTACGGGGTGATCCCATTGTGGATCTCAGTTTGCAAAAGGCTAGTCGATTCCCAAACAAGGGGGAAATTCTGTGATATTTCAACTTACTGATCATCTTGCAACGCCTTCTGCTAACTTCTGATAACTATTTGTCAGCAGAGATTCTCACATTCTGAAACAGCGCATATTCCTCATTTTCACTTCACCCTGAACTTGGAGAGAAGTCCGAAGGGGTAGAACTGAGTAGCGCACCAGCACCCTCCTTAAATTTGGGGATGCAATGGCGTCAGTAACAAGTGAGGCCTTTGCCAACCCACTGTCTTCTTTCAAGCCTATCTGATTTGTCCTGATTTGCTGTATTGAGGCACCACCATGATCAGCCATTCACATTCATTCCTTCCCCCCGTTCGTCACGGTTCACCTTTCAGGTTGCGTGAGTCGGCCTCGCCCGTCGAGCCCTGTCACCTCCACTCGTCGTCATTCCCATCGCGTCTTCAACACAGCCGGTCAGAATAATCAAGGGAGCTTCCAGCCTCTCCCCCGACCGCAATGGCCCCTCCAGCAGCGGCAGCCGCCGTTAGGTGTTCCCCCGAGGCAATCGTCGCCATGCCGGCCGTCATCGCCGTGCCGACCAGGGCCTTCTTTCCAGGGCTCCGGCGCTGCCAGCAGTACTTCCCGGAAAGCATTTCCAGGAGGCGGAAGGCGAGAAGCCTCAGCAATCATCGAAAGGGAGCTTGCCGGTATGCTAACGCAATGTTGTGACGAGCTGACGATGCTGTGGACAGGGGTGCGGATCCAGGAGTGACTGATATGCTATCACGTTACGAATTGATTTGCGCCTCTCATTTCCCCCCACCGCGCCCTCCTACCCTTCGTACTTTTCTTCCGTGGCTCTCTTTCAGAGGAAGACTCTCTCACGGAAGGCATTGCCCTGCTCGCACCTCCCTCCCTGCCTCCCTCGCTGCTGCTACCAACGGACTGCCTCTCTGTTGAGACACTGGGGGAAGACTCTCACCTGCTGGAGAAGCTGGGGATCACGCTGAACGGGGGTATGAGGAAGCCAGCGCTGAGTTCTGCTGTCGCTGCTGGTGCCGTTGATGCCGCTGGGGTTGACATTGAGAATGACACGGGAATTCAGAAGATCGAGATGCTGAACAGGATTCGGCTGTTGGCGAGAAAGGCTGGGCAGCTGCGAGTGAAGGAGGAGCAGAAAGTATCAATGACGGAAGGAAAGAGAGGAACGGTCAATGGAAAGGCAGAGGTTGAGGTGGAAAAGCGATTGGTGGAACACGAGGAGCAAGAGGGAGGAGGATCTGACGGCGATCCTCAGCACGGCTTCAAGATCATCAAGGTATGCGGTGATATATCTTTATCCGACATGGCTTCTTTCACGTGTAGATGCTCGGTGCGTTCTTCCTTGGGGGATTACAAGCCGTGGATCCGTTTATGCTGTCAGCTCTGATTCCGGGTACCGACCGCTCTGTCTGATGCTAGCTGCCTTGAGGCCACCTGCCCTGAGGGAAGCTACACCTTTAGCGCTTGATGATCACTAAACATAGCGTGGCAGCAGCGATCGAGTGATTGAGTGGATAGATCGGTTGTGCTCTTGCCTTCGGAAAGTTCATGCTTGTAGTGCCGCCGTTCCCTCTTGTCGCCCCCTCTTGCTCGTGCCAGGAGGAGCTCAAGTTCTCTCGCTTCCTCAAGATCTACAGCCGCGTCGTGGAGGTGAGGCATGGGAGCAGGTGATCGATTAGCGTATTGAACCAGTGGCTAGTGTATTCCAGCACTCGTTCCTTCACCCTCCTGTTTTTTTCCTTCAATCCGTAGTCGCGTACTCCTCGTTCCCCTCACACCGTCCCCCTTCCATTTCTCTCCCCCCTCTTTCAACCCGTGTCGCCCCATCAGCACCCACCACTGCCTCTTGCACAGCAAGAGCCACAGCTTGTCGCGGAAACCGGGTTCATCACTCCCACAATCGACCAGATATCAGCAGCCACTGTAGCTCCTGCTGCTGGTGCAGCTCGTGCAGCTAACAGATCTGCTCATGGGGCGTCTGGAGCAAGGGGCCCGATCGTGGCCGCCTGTGCAGCAGGACCCAGCCTGCAGAGCACCTCTTTTCAGCAGCAGGAGGGTCAGCAGGGGCAGCAGTGGCAGCAGGAGGAGGAGGGAGCGAGGCAGGGGCGCGGGCGGAAGGTGGTGGAGTATGACATAGTGTCGTCCGCCAGCAGCCACTTCATCTGCGTGCTGCCCTTCCACTCCGCCACGCAGTCCGTCACTCTCCTCAAGGAGTACGCTCAGGTGCGCGTCTTGTGCACCTCTTTCCGCCACCGCACTGGTGCCGTGTGTGGGGATCAGAAGCTCGCACACCCTATCTCGTCCATTGCCAGCTTTCTCCTCCACCCCACCTCACCACTTTGCACCACTCTCCTTGCTTGTCCACCCCACAGGGCGCCAACAGCTTGCTGTACACGGTGCCGTGTGGGGGCCTCAGCAGCTCGCATGCATCACTGGAGGATTGCGTCCGGAGCGAACTATCAGAGGAGGTGAGCTGCCGCTCTGCACCACCATGTGCATCCCAGCGTGCTTCTTATTTCGTGTCTCTGCACCACCATGGTTGCAAACAATAGAGCATTGAAGTTCCTGTGTCTCGGTTCCAGCAGCATTGGTTCCCCTTCCAACCCCCCGTATTCCTTCGCTCCATCCTCACAACCACTAAATCACTCCTCCCACCCCTGTAACTCACTCCAACAGGCGCGTCTGCGTGGAGGCCGGCTTGTGAGACTCATCCCTGAGGACCACCCAGGCCTTCTCGAGGTGAAGTGGTGCAAGAACCGCTTCACACCGTTCCTCGTCATCGACCCGCTCCCCGACCCCACCCCGCTCCCACGCGACCCGGAGGAGTTCATCCAGGTGCTGCACCTGCCCGCCCAGGAGCTTGACAGGCTGGCGCTGGGCGGCGACATGCTGCTGCCGTCTGTAGTGACATGCACCATGGCTCTGCAGTACCTGCGGGAACACAAGTTGCTGTGACTGTAAGGGGCGGTGGGTTGCCGGGGGGTGGGTGCACTGTCTTCTGACATGCACCATGGCTCTGCAGTACCTGCGGGAGCACCACCTGCTGTGACTGTACGGGGCAGTGCGGTGGGTTGCTGCAGGTGGGGGCTGGGACCATCGTTCTCTTAAGTCACAAGTACCGGTATCTGCGTGCACCATGGCTCTGCTGTGCCTGCGGCTGCACCAGCGGCTGCGACCTGGTTGATGGGTGGTGGGGCTGGCATGTGACGAGCAAGGCTGGTGCTGGCGCTGGGACATGCTGCTGCCGTCTGTAGTCATGTGCAATATGGCTCTGGAGTACCTGTGGGAGCACCTCCTGCTGTGACTGTATGGGGCGGTTGGTTGCAGTGTGGAAGCTGGGAGCGGGGGCTGTGGCCACCTTTCGCTGTAGTCACGTGCAGAAGGTGGTATGCACCATGGGGCTGAAATAACCAAGGGACTGTCAGCTAATGTGACTGTAAGGGGCGGAGGGGTTGCTGGAGGTGGATCATGGATGGAGTGATGTGAGGTTTGGCTGGCTATTGTCGCATGAGGTTTGGCTTGGCCATGCACCTTGCCTCCTGATGTGCAACGAGGCACCATGGGTATGGGGGGTGGTGTGGTGGTGGTGGGCGTCAAGAATGGGGGGATGGTGGGGTGAATGTAGGAACCATCTAGGTGTTATACTGGGGCAAGACAGGTGCCTTGGTAGCAAGGTTGCCTGTCTCAGGGGCACTTCTCGTGCCCCCTTCACTGTAGCCCCTTGTGGCTGTACTCTATACTAATATATGCTGTGGTATGCAGAATACGGTATGGGGTAATCCCAAGCTTCAATCCACCACCGGATCATACAATATATCTACCATGATAAACGGATATGCACGCCACCTGTCAGCTTCTAGCCTACTATACAGCAAGCAAAGCTACCCAACAAAGCAACCCAACACCGCATCCCATAAAGTGATGCTGCAAGATCTCAAGACCTTGATCCTACAGGTCAACACTATGCTACTGCAAAGACACGCACTGTGTGACCTCCATGCCTCTCCTGCTCCTGCTCGCCTTGCCTCGCCTCCTCTGCCTCCTCCTCCTCTTCCTGCTCCTGCTGTGGCGGTGTTTTCCCCTTGGCAGACTCCTCTGCCTGTCCACCTGGTCCTGACTTGAACCGCCACAGCATTTTCTTCAACACACTCCTCGTGCTCTTCACACCCTCCTCCTGGCCCCTCACACTGCCACCCCTCACATCCTCATGCGCTGCAACACCACCCCTCATACCCCTGTAACCACTCAAATTAGGACTGCCACCATCCAACCCCCCAGCCTCCCTTGCGTTTGCCTGCTTCCCTCCCACCGCCACCCACTCAGCATCTGCCTCAATGTCGCTCCACTCCCCCAGGACGTTATCGCTGCTCATACTCCTATAACCAGTCTCTCTATTAGAAACAGACCGGCCCTTCCCCTGCAACAAACCCCTTTCTGATGTCTCCCAGACCTTGATTTCTGCGCCGGCCCTGCCCGAACCTCCAGCTGGAAAACCACCACCACCTGGGGAGAATCTCCGAACCTGAACCGTGTCCCCGAGCCTTGGAGCCTGCGTTGGTGAACCGAGCCTCTCAGCCTGCATTGGTGAACCGATCCTCCCAGCCTGCGTTGGTGACCCGAGCCTCCCAGCGTGGCCTGGTACACCTAACCTCTGAGCTTGCATCGGCGCACCATGCCTTCCCTTCCCATCCTTCCATGGCAGCTGAGCCACTACTGGGCTCCTTGAGAAACTCCCATCACTCCCCTCCTCGCTCCCCTCCCCCCCCTCCTCCTCCACTGCATCTGCCACTGATAGCTCAGGCAGCGACGGGGTGAAGCGGTGCAGAGATGGGGTATGGGGTCGGCCTGCCGCGATGCTCTCTCTGGTAGGCCGCGTCTGCTGCACCTGTGGGGCCTGCTGGTACTGCTGCACGTGTTGCATCTGGTGCTGCTGCTGCATGTGCTGCTGCTGCATGTGCTGCTGCTGCATGTGCTGCTGCTGCATGTGGTGCTGCTGCTGCATATGCTGCATCTGGTGCATCTGGTGCGACTGTGGGCCCTGCTGGTACTGCTGCACGTGCTGCATTTGTTGCATCTGCTGCACCTGCTCGATCTGCTGCTGCTGCATCTGCACCTGCTGTGACTGTTGCATGTGCTGCAGGCGGGGGGAATTGCTACCAGCTGCAGCTGAGGGCTCGTGAGGAGAGCGAGCAAACCTGGGGGCCACCAAGGCCTTACGAGGCGTCGGGGGTTTCTCTGCTGACGGTCGAGAGACAACAGTGGATGCGGACAGGTGTGTGTGTGCTGGCCTGATGCTGCAGGGGGAGTTGAAGGCTGCAGGTGCCACCCCAGGCAGATTCTCGGTCAGCACCGAAAGCGAGCTGCTCCTGCGATGAACGCCCCGGGCAGGTTGCCGGGCAGGCCTGGGCATGGTGGGGGGAAAGGGAGGAGCGTGGGTGGCGGAGATGGGGGAGGTGCAAGCGGGGGAGGCACCAAGGGGGGAGGCGCAAGCAGGGGAGGCGAAGGAGTGGAAAGTGGAGGAGGTGGGGGAGTAGGAGGCCTGCGTAGGGATTGCGGACCGAGAGGGGAGTGTGTGGTCATAAGAGACTGTGGAGGAGGAGGGAGGGAGGACGGAGAGAGAGGAGTAAGGGGAGGAGTGAGCGGAGGAATGGGGGGAGCGGAGCGAAGACTGGTGCATGGAATCGGGTGGGCCATGGGAAAACTGTCCTGTTGCGGCAAAATGGGTGGTGCTGATGTCGTTCGTAACCGTCTGCACTGGTGTCGGAAGGCCCTGTCCAAGCGAACCGGTGGTACAGTCTCTATTTGCAGAGTAAATCACCCCGGGTAGCAAGACAGGGGCGCATGGAGAAGGGGGGGCATTTCCGCCCTTATGAGCTGACACTGCTGCGGAGACCAACACAGGCGGCGCGGACGGCGGGGGAGCATCCCCAGGCAGTGTGACTCTATCGCGCGTGCCGTTAGCAAATATCGCGGCGAAATCGAGAGAGCCTTCGGGTTCTGTTACGTCAGCGCCGCCGTCTAACGAAGGGGCACGAGGCCGCGGCAAATCCGATCCGTCAGGATGTTGCACCTGTAACGAATCGTCTGACCATTGGGAGTTTTCATCGCGCTTTGCGCGCGGCGTAGGAACTAAGCTGAAAGCGTATTTAACGTGCGCCTCCCCCGTCCCCTCCCCCGCTTCCTGCCCTTCCGCCGCCTCCCCCCATTCGCTCTTCCGCTCCCCCGCAGGCGCACGCCACGAGTCGTGGCGCGTTTCCCCGACATCTGGCGCGCCGTCAGGGCCATTGGCTGGCGCGCCGGCGGTGGCGGCGGAAAGCCGAGCCAGCGCGAGCGACCGCGCCGACTGCGCCGACTGCGCCGACTGCGGGGAGTGCGGAGCGGGCTCCGCGTCGAGGCAAGTGAGGTCGATGTTGTCAATGCGCAACCCCACCGCCTCCATGCGCCGACACTGCTGCTCCAGCGCTGTCGGGGTTGGGCGAAAGGGGGGAGTGGGTGGCGGAGTGGGGGGGAGGGGTGAGGGAGGAGATCGGGGATGGGAGGGAAATTAGGAAGGATAATCTTATTGCAGCCCCACCAACTCCATCCGCCGACACTGCTGCTCCAGCGCTGTCGATTGAGTAAAAAGGGGGAAGGGAGATGATTGAGGAGTGAAGGGAAGCAAAGAATGTGGGCCGGCGCGGAATCGAGGTCCATACTAGGCTTGTCGTGCGACCGTCGTTTCAACTCAAGTCGCTCCTTCTGCCACTCCCCTCTCTGGTCCCCTCGTCCTTTCTGCTCGCCTCTCACCTTCCCAACTGTCATCGCGCGAAGCCGCTCTAACCATCACGTGGCGCTGCGTATTTCCGGCGGCACCGCCGCCGCCGTTGTCTGCAAACTCGCGATCCGTCGCCATCCCCGGGCCTTCCACGCTGCGCGACCGCTGCACGCCGCCGCCGCCGCGTCGCACCCGACCCGTCGGCTTCCAGCCAGGACCGGCCCGTTCCATGACGGACTCCGTCACGGAATCCGTCAGAGCGTCCGGCGTCTCAGAATCCGTCCAGCGATTTCTGGCTACCGTGGCTGCCGGCGAGCGTAATCTGCTACCACCTAGCGGATGCGCGTTGGCACTGAGCGTCCGCCTAGCGCCGCAAACGTCGCCGCAACCGCCGCCGCCCGCGAAGGCGTCGATCTCGGCCCAGCGAATGGGTTCGCCTGCCATGCTGGCGTCTGCCCTGGACGCGCCACGGGTAGCGCGCGGCGAAACGACCTAAGGCAGAATTCGAGCGCACTCAGCGTGTTTCTGGCAGGTGATTGCTTTCTGAGGCGCCTCGAAACTCAAGAGTCGTCCGGTGTGCAGGCAACTACGCGCCGCGTTGATTGAGAGGTCCAGCTGGTCGTTCTGTTGCGGAAAGGTTCGCCATGACAATGTTAAACCGCCGTGATCGTTACTTCTAGGCCGATAACTCAAACTGGACCGCAATATTCGTGGCATGCGCTACGATGAACTGATGAGCTACTCATGCGCAGGCGTCATGACGAAACAAACGGACCAGTTACCAGCTGTACTAACTTTCATGCGCAGGCAACTGCGGAGATCTCGCGAAGGAGATTTGTTGAGGACAGAAGTGTGCAGCGGAAAATGGATTGGCGCTCGTCCCATTCCACTTCTCTCCACGAGGTCGAATACCGAAAGGACGCTAGACGAGGTTGGCCCGCACGTGCTGGCTAAAGACGAGAACAGAAGAGGCAGAGGAGGCATGCAAGCAGGCAGTGGTGATGGCGCAGGAATGGATTACAGTATGGAACACACAACCTAGGCCTGGCACTCGTGCTTTTCTGCATAAGATTTTTGCTGCGAGCAGTGCTGCAGTAAACTCGCCCCCACGCTGGTGATGATGATCGTCCGTGCGTGAGTACACTTCACTCACTCACATCACATCATTGCGCTGCGCGCCTGGTTGTTGACATTCGCCACAGAAAACGAGCCTCGCCAAGTTCGGCCCAAACCAGGGAAGCACACCCGCCCAACGTCGCCAAAGCTCCTGCTTGAAGCTAATCTTTGCTTCGGCCTCACTTTAGCCAATTACAGCTGCCACACACACGTCGCCGAAGCAGCGGACAGCTGGATGAGGCAGGGGGTGCCCTGCCATGCACGAGTCATGCATGGTCACGAGGGACAGAGTGGTTTGTGCGTAGAGATTGGTTTGTGGCGGGGAGTTCATCGCCTGACAGCTGGCTCCTTCGTCGTGACTGAGTCGTGACTTCCCAAGAAATCCTCGCTGAGCCGGCCAGGTACAAGTGTGATTTGTCTGTTTACAGACCCGATACGAAATAAAGTCGGGATGTCTACATATATATATATATATATAAAGTGGGAGTATATCTTATGCAGTATTCCCGTAAACTAATTATGGTAACCCCATCTCGACATCTCTCGCTGAGTGCCAAGCAAGTCGTGGAAAGTGGCGGCGAGCTGCACAATCGTTGCCAAATGGCAATCAATCAGCGGTCCTACATCAGTGGGGCTCCGTGTGGATAGGGTTTCGTCAGCAGATTCCATCCAAACCCTCCACACCACCGCCTCACACCCATCACCCATCTTTCCCACATCATACGGCCGTCGCCAAACCATACGCACCGTCGATCGTTTTCAAGCATACCACCTTTACGGTTGCGATCTTCCTTTCAAAATCTCACCACACCTGGCACTCCCGACCGCTCACCCTCAGCCCCTCCACACCCCTCCCTTCTTCCCAAATCCTCCCTAACTCTCTCCACCGCGGCAAATCTCTCTGCCTACTCTTCCAACCTTCCGCTTTTCCCTCTCGATCTTGTCTCTGATTCCCTCCGTCTCTATCTGCTGCTGCTTCTCCGTCGCTCCCTCTCTCTCTCCCTCACCACCACGGACAGCAGAGGTAGTCATTTTCACGCGAGGCTGCATTTCCCTCTTCAGTAGCCATAGTTGCTGCTGTTGCCCTCCTGCTGCCATTCAGACCGTAGCTTCGGTCTCTGCACATTGACGACAATGGCTGCCGTCGCTGCCTCCGCTATGGCGTCTAGCCTCACCGTCAAGGGCCTGAACAGGTCCTTTGTTTCCGGCAAGAGCCTTCGCTCCGCCGCGAAGCTTCCTTCAGTCGTTAGCGCCGCTAGGCTCGTGTGCGACGCTAGGGAGAACAAGACCGTCGCCAGCCATGCGACGATCTCGTCCGCTGCGTCGTCCGTCGTCGAGGGTATCTTCGGCGAGAAGGCGTCGAGACAGATGCACCACGCTGCGATCATTGCGATGAATGCGATGATCGCCATGCCAGCGTTCGCAGAGGAGGAGAAGGGAAAGATTTTCGACTTCAACCTGACCCTCCCCATCATCGTCGTTCAGTTCCTCCTCCTCATGGTTGCTCTCGATACCATCTGGTTCAAGCCGGTTTCCACCGTCATGGATTCCCGTGACGAGGAAATCAGGAAGAAGCTCATTGGTGTCAGGGATAACTCCGGCGAGATTAAGGACCTGCAGAGCCAGGCCGAGGCGTTGATTAAGGCGGCTCGCGCCGAGGCGTCAGGGCAAATGAACGCGATGAAGAAGGAGGTGGCTGCTGAGCTGGACGCGAAGCTGCAGGCGTACCGCGCGCGCATCGAGAAGGAGCTCGAGTCGTCGCTCGCGAACCTCGAGACGCAGAAGCAGTCGACCCTTAAGAGCCTCGACTCGCAGGTGTCCGCTCTCAGTGACGAGATTGTTAACAAGGTCATCCCCTTCAAGGCTTAGGGGTCTACTTACGGTTAGTTTTTTTAAGGTGATTTATGACCTGCTTGTCTACTTATTCGCCGATATTTACGCAACTAGGGTTTCTGCTTCTTTTGAAATACCTCCTGGGGCTTAGCCTAGGTAATTTTTGCATTGATGTGGCTGAGAGATTTCAAAACATGTGCATATTGCTCCCGTTCCACATTGGCGTTGGGTGTACCAAGAAGGTGTAATGACGAAGGTTGAGTTATTCTCCAGAAAAGGTATTCCTGTCAGTCAGTCACACAAAAGTTCTGGAACGGATCACACGTAGATTCTAGACAATTTGCAGGTATGTCTTTATGGACACTAGATATTTATGGCCTGCTCCAGGAAAGTACGGTACTGTACCCTAAATCTAGCTTCATAAGAAGTGAATGTGCCAGTCAGAAACGTTTTCTACACTACTCTCCCACCAACTGAGTCCAGGGCAGCCACAGTAGCTTTAGCATGAAGCTTCCCCTGCTCTTGGAATGCCTCAACCATGGCTGCTCCTACAGCCCGCCCCACCTCCTCACTATCCACCACTGCCACGGCAGTCGGGCCTGCCCCACTGATGGTGCACCCATGTGCCCCCGCTGCCTTGGCTGCTACCTTAACTGCTGACATGCCGGGAATCAGAGGTGAGCGCCGTGGCTCCACTATCGTGTCCGAAGCTGCTTGTAAGGAGGATGAGAGAGGGAGGACACAGACAGCATTGTAGAAACAAACTTTATAAAGCAATCACCAAACTGGAGCAAATGCAAATGCAAATGAGACAGGGAATGGCTGAAATAGGAGAGCACTCGCTAAGGGAAGCAGTACTCACCAAGGGCAGCACCGAGCAGGCGAGCGTCGCCCGTGTGGATGGCATGGATGAGAGCCGCTGCCTGGCTGCTGTTGGCCACATGTGACGCCATCGTGATCTGCTCACATGCCATGCCATGCCATGCCATGTAATGCCACGCCGCACCATGGCAGATGACAAAACCAAGAAATGTGAGAGACGAATCCGAAATCTGCTATGCAGTGGCACCACATCACATCTTATCCGGCCAGGTCAGGTTCAGCTTCTACATCACAGCATGCCATATTGGGGAGCTCTCACCTCCTTAGGCAGTGCTGCCCTCATCTCCTTGGTGGGCGCCTCAAACGCCGGCGTCACGACCACAAAGAAGAGCTTCTTCCCCTCGCCGAACGCGAGCGGGATGAGATGCAGTGGCCGGTACGACCGCACGAGCACAAAGCCCCCCATGAGCGCCGGCGCAACGTTGTCCGCGTGGTAACCGCTAACCGCTGCCTCAGATTGTAACCCCGCCAGCACCAGCTGTGCTTTGGAGAGCGGCGAGCCGAAGAGAGCGTTTACTGCCACGGCTGCTGCTGCTGCACTCGCAGCACTGGAACCTAGTCCACTCCCCAATGGCAAACCCTTGTTCAGAGTGAGGCCGATCACGGGAAGATTTGATCCTGATCCGCTGCTGCCGCCCTTGCAGTTCGGCCCGTAGAGGCCGAGGAGCTCCATGGTGGCGCGGGCGGCGATCCCGATGCAGTTGGTGGTGGGATCGAATCCCAGCCGTCCGTTGTCGCCCTCAATGCTCTCGATGATGATGTTGCCCGAGGGCGGGGCGGGCACGTCCAGAATCTGTAGAGGGGCCGCGCAGAGGATGCGGGGGAAAGAGGGAAGGGAAGGAGGGAGGCAGGAGACCGAGGGGATAGGTGGGGTGGGCCAAGGGAGGGGATGCCAAGACTTTGAGAAATGAGAGGTGCAGGAGAGAGTAGTAAGTAGCTCTATCAGATAACACCTACCCGAGGGGATGGAGGCGTTTCCTCATGTAACACCCACCCCAGGTAGCGCCTACCCGAGCCGTGACGTGGTCGCCAAGCCCCTCCACGGCGCATCCGAGGAAATCGAATCCCGGGCCGAGATTCGCCACTGTCGCCGGCGCGAACGCCGTCACCTCCTGCCGCGCCACGGCCGGCGGCGCGTCCAGCAGCGCCTCCAGATATTCCGGCGCAGATGCCGCTGAGGCCGTGATCGCGGGGCGCGCTGCGCAGACGCGGGACTGCAGAAACACGGGGATCGGCGGAGATCGAAAGTGCGGAAGGGGAATCATGGACGGGGAAACGTGGAAGGGCGAGGAGAAAGACGGGGAGCGGCGGGGTGGGGATGGGAGGGGGGTGGCGGAGGACGGGGGTCGCGGGGAAGGGGAGGAGACAATGTGGAAAGGATTATGTTATGCAATAATGCG